CTCGAGACGCTGCTCCATCCACTCCGGCTGGACTTCCCACGGGGCCTCTGACCTGTGCCCTGCTGCTGATCTGATGCACTTCCCACACAAAGGTGGCCACGGCAAAATCCATGCACACACACCATCCTGAACTCATTCATGTGCAGGTCCTCATGCCCTGCTGCCTGAATCTTCAATTTTTTTCTTCTTTCATGACTTAACAGGGGAAGTAAAGACTGCTGAGAATAAAGGAGTAATGCACTTTTAAACTTCAAATGCTAAAGAACAGAGCAGAGGGGAATAACCTGAACTAGGAAAAATGGACATCATCGGGGGGTTGGGAAATTCTGCAATACTGTAACACGGTGCTGTTTTTTGGGAGTCCCTGGGTTGTTTCCTTGGAGGGTTTTAAAACAGGGATTACATTATGAGACAATGGTAACCAAGCAGAACTTCCAGCAGAGAAGTGCACACAGGAGATCTGAGGATGAGAGCAGGTCGGATCCAGCCTACGTTAGTTTTACTCCGAACCCAGTCCTGCATGTCTCTGTACCAAAGGAAGCCCCCCTGCTTTCCCCTGGGCCAGGGCACAGGAAAGCTGTCGCAGGACTGCAGCCATCGCCAGCGCAGCCCACAGTCCTTTCAGGTTTCAGTGGCGCTTCAGTGCAACAGCCAGCCTACACTCTTCTCCACGCTGCTCTGGGGCTGGGAGAGCACGGTGGTGCCGACTTCTGCGTCAACATCTCCAGGAGTGCACTGCATGTTTGAATCCACCTGCAAAGGGTCTCTCAGGTTCTCAAGGGTACAAAACCTCAGGCCAGGAATCTCCACCTGGCCATGTGTGGCGCCCCTGTGCCCTCACCCCCCTCCTGATTATTTGGCATCCTCCCAGGAGCTGCAAGCTTTGTCCCCCCCCCCGCCAAAAAAAGGCCGACATAACACTTCTAAAGCTTAGTTAGTGGCTGAAAGGGATAGCAGCTAAAATTTACTGGTATTTTGGCCCTGCCCGATTGAACGAGGCTTGGAGAGTTTCTCCAAAGAGGAACATCACCCTCAAAATGGCTTGGGTCCTGGTTACCTGAAGGAGCGCTTATGTCCATACATGCCCGCCCGCTCCCTGAGATCTGCAGGAGAGGCCCTTCTCCGGGAACCCTCCGTGAAGGAAATTAGGAGGGTGAGTACCCGGAGGAGGGCCTTCTCTGCCGTGGTGCCCCACCTATGGAATGTGCTCCCCAGAGAGGTCCGCCTGGCGCTGTTGTTATTTGTTTTTCAGTGCCAGGCCTTTTTTTTCAAACGTTATTTTAATTGTTAATATTATTTATTTATTCTTTGGCCAGGGCGACTTAATTTATAGTTTTATAGGATGTTATTTATTTTTGTGAGCCACTCCGAGGCTTTGGCGAATGGGGCGGTATAGAAGTTCCCTAAATAAATAAATAAAATAGATGCAAAACGCCCCCTTCCCTCGCCCAGTGACCAACAGCCACACGCACCACACACACACATGTACGAAGCATCATTCCAATTTGCTTGCACTGTGTGTGAGCTTAGATGATTTGATGAAAAGCCCTGCAGTACAATATACAGGGATGCCTGTCAACCCTCCAGACGTGCGGCTTGGGCATCCTGCCAAGGGCAGGAGGGGTACGGAGTCCTGGTCAGCCCTGTAAAGCAGCCAGAAAGCAAGTTTCCAGTGGCCTGAAGGGGGCGCTTTGGAGCAGGAGGAAAGGAGGCTTTGGGGAATTTCCCTTCTCTGCCCCTAAAAGCCAGCTCCCAGGTTGCTCTTGCGAGTCTGGCCCAGCTCCTGCAGGGAAGGAAAGACACTTCAAGCACAGGCTCCAGAAAGTCCTGTGCCCACCTTTGAACATGCAGCCCGTGGACTAGGGAGGACACCTGAGGAATCTGGCAGATCCGAAAAAGCAGGGATGGACTTAATAAAAATGCACCCCGATATGGCTAGTCTCCCATGGGATGAGAGCCACGAACAGGCCTGAGGAGAGGAAGGCCCTCCACCCCCAGCTGAGCACATTCTTGGCTTGCAGGTCCTGTCCCAGCAACTGCAGGTGGCGCTGGAAAGCTCCGGCCAGAAGCCCCTGTGAGCTGCCGCTGCTGCTGGTCTGCACTGGCAGTACTGGAGTAGGTGGACCAAGGGACTAACTCCTACTGGCAGCATCCTGCATTCGATTCTCCCTCCCATGGGAGGGACTCCTCTTACGAGGCGGCCAGGTGTGAGACAGGCCTGCGACATCTTAAGAAACAGGTGATTCATTCTTCCTCCTTGCTTCAGATCCTCGGGTTCCTCAACAGAGAAAGGAAGGCAGCATATAAATAGAAAGAGAGCGAGTCAGAAGGGGTCTCCCAGGCCATCTAGTCTAACCCCTGGCTCTAGCTGACTCCACTCACGAAATGCCTACCATTTGCATGTCCAGCCTATCCTTGAACACCCGCACCGATGGGGCCTCAACGACCCCCCGTGGGAGCCCATTCCACACCCTCGGGGTCCTGACTGTCAGGAAGTGCTTCCTGGCATCCAAATGGAGCCTCGGTTCCCTGAGCTTGGCTCCGTTGGAGCGCATCCTGCCTTCCTCTGCAGGGGAGAACAGGTCTCTCCCTACCTCTGTGGGACACCCTCTCACATACCTTACGGCATGACCTGCTGCATGTTTGGACAGGATAGGCCTACAATCCCTAATTTCCCTGCCTGTACGGATAGTGGGGGGACGCCGGAAGTTGTAGGGCTTTGTGCTGCTTAAGCGCACAGATTGTTCCCCAGATGCTGACTGGGAGGGGGGTGATGCACAAGTGAGGAGACTGGGAGGCTGTGCTTCAGCAGTGGCAGGACAAGGGGTGTGCACCTGGGGGCCTTTGCAGTGCAGTGTGCGCTTCCTTACACAACAGGGGTTTATGCCCATTTCCATGACCGACTGCCAAAAGCTGTGGCTCTCTATTCAGCGCGGGTTCTTTCTGCAAGAAGAGCACACGAGGCCCTTCCAGCCTCAGCCCAGCGGCCCATCTAGCCCTGCACAGCAGCGCCCGAGCACAAGAGCGACGCCGCAGAGCAGCTTGCCCTTCCCCTCCGGCACTTGGGCCCCATCCCTGAAAATGAGAGTCCACGTTCCAGCACAGAATTCGGGCTCCAGGAACCTCAGCACAAGGCACTCAGCCACTCGAGCCAGACAGGCAAAGCGGCATGCATCTCCCCCCTTTCCTTCCTCTTGGGGGACCCGGAGGGTCGGAGCTGGTGCTGGGGCGGCTGCTTCCAAGGCCGGCCTCTGGTACAGATGCCCCTCTTGTCCTTCCAGCCTGGCTTTCTGTCAGCTGGAAGATGGGAAAAACAGCGGCCTCAGCTCACAGGTTTGTCACAGGTGCAGGCGGTTTGAGGTGCGCATCACTTTGGAAAGAGAGGATGCAGTTCTGCACAAGGTTAGCTATGCCCCGTCCGGGAAGGAGGTCACACGGGCATGCGTGGAAACCCGCAGCAGCCGTGGTCCAAATGTGCAGCCATCATGGAAGGTGCAGCCGAAACAGGAAAAGAAAAGCTTGGCTGCCCTTCCCAACCTCAAGTGAGCCACGGAGATGCTGACCCCAGATGCTCGCTCGGCCTAGCGGGATACAGAACAGCAGCACTCTCTCTTCCCTTCACCAGAGTGCCAGTCAACACTCACGCGAGTGTGCCCATGCACACATTCGTGCCCAGCCCTGGATATCCCTGAAGCGAACTTCTGAACCGCAGGCGTTGAGAAGCCCGGTGTGCAAGCTGGCCCTGCGCAAAGCAGAGGCTGTGCTTACCGCTGAGAGGCAGCCGGACTCCCGCCTGCACTGGCCGGCCAAACACGGAGCTTTTTCTTCAGCTTTTACACATCCTCTTCCATGTCCCGGGCAGACCTGCCCACAACTCTGAGCTACTTCAAATGCGAACAGAGAAATTTCTCCCCCACCCACACACTCTGCTTCTTTGCACTCTGGAATAAAATAAAATAAAATAAAATAAAATAAAATAAAATAAACAAGGAACATCCGTGCACTGCAGAATTCCTCCCTAGACGCCCCCCCCCATTCAGAACATGAGCCCGAGGCAAACTAATCCCACCGGGGTCCCTTCCCCCTCCCCTCCAGCTCACATCAGCACTAAAATAATGATGAAAAGCCAGCGCACCCCGGCCCAGCTTCCCCGCCCAGAAGAGTCCCCGCCGAAACAAAACCCAGCCTGTTGAACATTTTCCTCCGCTCGACATGCACCTAAGCTTCTTTTAACAATTAAAAGGAAAATCCATCCTCAGCTGACCCTCCCACGAGACGCCGCTTTCCCAAAACTGGGCACGAGACGTTGGAAAAGCAAAGTTTCAGCCCGCTTCCCCACCTCCTCGGGTGCGCGGCTGCCGCTGCCGCTTGCTCGGAGGCAGAATCTCGCCGCTGGATGTTGCAACTGCCCACACCCGGGCGGCCCCCCCGCGCGGCAGGCGGCGCGGCGGCG